TATAATTAGAAATGTTTAATTTTCTTCACTGTGCCATCAATAAATATTTGTAAATGTAAACCATGATTAAAAGAAGTTACTGTGTGCAATTCAGGGATGTAAATCACTTTTTGAAGTAAGAATAAAAGTAAAAATTAAGAAGCTCCTTTCAAATCAGAATGTTTTTCCCCCCCAACATTTGTTTGCAGTCACAGCCATACAATTACTAAAAAATATATACTTTTATCATAATCTTTATTGTTAATTATTAAACTATTGTCACAAAATTTCACAATAAAAATAGACCATATCACCCAGCTGGGCTCCTAGCTTAAAGTCTAAATTCCCCAAGGTCACTTGTACTCAGGCTTTAATGTTCATATAGGATCCATGTTATAGACATCATAGATGACCATCTTATTTATAACTCTTACAGATAACAGTTGTCAGAGTAAAACTGAACAAGATTCACCACTCCAGAATTCATGACTAAACCGTCACTCAAAAGGCTTCAACAGGATGAGGCCACTCTGAAACATCCCATCATAACGACCCATAAAGATCACGTATAACACATTGCTATGCCAAACCAAGTAAGGTAAATATCACTCTGAGCCCAGAGCAAAAAGTGATTCAGCAGTGGAGATTATTTCCCCCCACATTCTGGATCCAGTGTGGCATTTGCTACAGGATATTACTCTAAAAAAGGAATCGACAGTTTATTAGAATCTCTCAGATCTCTCTCTCCTCATCAGCCAACACCAAAACAAGTCGGACTCCTGGAAGACATCCAGACAGTAAGTCTTTCACAATGTTTAGTCGGTTTATCTGCTGTGTAGTGATCGCTGCACATACAGAAACTATTTTATTGGAAGGAGACGAACCAATACAGAAGGAAATTTTGACTTTAATTTTTTTCCCACAAATATAACTAAGCCAAAAATAGAAAGATTATAGCGCACCTGCAAACCTGCTTAGTCCTCCTAAGCCGGCCAAACCTGCCAAGTTAAAAGTCCTCAGAGGCCATAGCTGTTTCTTCTCCCCCAATTAAAATACAATACAAGTATAATCAATTATTTTCCATTTACTTGCTCAGCAATAAATTAAGCAGAGAATATTTTAATTAAAGTAGAATAAATTGTTGTAGATCCAATGAAGAGTTCCAGATTGAATATTTTGTTGATCTAGAAATTATTAACCTACTGCCAGCAACAAAGATATGAACTTTCTCTAAAATATCCTTGCAATATTTTCCACTGAGTTCAAGTTTGTATTTCAGTAAAAAAAATAAAGTCACTGGATGTTTAGGACCCTTAGTACATTAAAGTGGAATCAAAAAACATAACTAATGAAAGAAAAATACAGTTTTATACCCAACATTTTCCATTTAAGATGACAAATTTCTACCAGTCTCGAACTGCAGTCAAGGGGAGCCCACAAAATTATTCCTAGGGCCACAATTGGCTCTTTGGACACCACTGGCATAAACTATAATCATATTAGATCCAGGCAAAATCCAAGCATAACTTCAATTGTATAGACTTAAAAGTAAAAGATGCTCTTGCATTTTGTAAAAATGAATTCAATGCAAAGCTTGTAGAGATGTTACTGAGAAAGTGGTTGTATTTCCTCCTCATGTAAAGCACTTTGAACTGCCTCACTGCTGAAAATATGCTATATAAATAAATTACCAGTACCTTACAAATGACTGACTCAGGGATTTCTGAATAGAAATTTTAACCAAGCTTTTTATATTTTCATCACAAAAAAACTCCGAAACCCATGTTTATTACTGCCACTGTATAATTATGCACTACTTTGTTCTGATTTATTACAATATATCCTAATGATACACATTGAAATTTATGTTTGGTTGAATGGAAGTGAATACTTTTCGAAGGCACTGTACATCCGACACCATTTTCCAGACTTGCTTGTGCTTTGCTAAGATGACCCTCTGCTGGCCAGGCTTTTCTTACCTCCTGTGTTCTGTCAGAACACTGTTTTGTCATCCTTGACTCCGATGTAAACTGTTTAGAGAGGGACAGTTTTTCAAATTCCCAGCCAGAGCCTGGCCACTCCTTAAAAGGCCATCAGATGGTTCTGATGTACCTGTCACTCTTTTCAGTTGCATCTCTAATCTTGATGTCATCCCACAGGAATGTAAGCATCACTCTCAGAGCCCATTAAACCTCTAAACTAAAATTGCTGATTCCATTTTAATTCTCAATTACAACTCATTCTACAGGATGGGACACAGACGGCTGTAAAACAGCTGGTTTGGTGCTGAATGGATGTACTGAAAGGAATCTGAGCTTAACATGTGACAGCAGAGAGAAATTAAACCAGCGTTGAGTGATGGAGCTATTGGGAGGGCAGGATACATCCCTCCAGAACAATGGTGATGACAACAATGATGATGATCTGCATGTTAGAACAGCTTTCTCTTCAATCCTTAATGCAGGCCAATACCACAGCGTATTACAAGCAGAGATACATTTTCCTTTATATCCGTCTTTCGCTCTTCAATCCCGGACAAGCCCCCAAATTGTTAGTCATAAAAAGTTAGTGTTTAAAAAAAAAAACAGAAAGATAGAAAAGAGAAAGTAACTTTATAGAACTATTCAAAGAAAAAGCAAACGCCATTCATTTAAAAATAACTCCTCAATAGATTCATCTTCCTTTTAGAAATCACAGCAGCATTAAAGTTTTGCACCAGTCTTTTCCCTCTACAAAAGTAGTCAGTTTATTCCAACTAGAGTGGCATTATACATCTTCAAGAGCATTTATAGCCACAAATCAGAAAAATACTTGAGTATTAAGGCCGACATGCAATGATTTTCATAAACGGTATGAAATAACTTGATTAGCAATACATAAAGGGAAATGGTGACAGACAAAAGGAGTCTATGAAATGACAAAGGAGCTAAGTGACCTGGACCAACAGCAGGAATCAAAACGCCTGATCAGAATTTCCAAGACGACAATTTTCCCCATCAAAGATAAGCACTGTGCCAAATGACCAATTGGCTGAGCACTGCAGCATGCAAAATATCAATGATTGGAGCCAAGACTTTAGCCCGTTAATTTCAGCATCCACAGTTCAATTTCTAAAGTAGTATTTTTTCAAAGAAGTTACATGAATGATCAGGGGTTCCTGAAAGACTTAAATGCATAGCTATTGGCGCTATGCACCAATCTGATGGTTGAATAAAAAAAAAAAAAAAAAAAAAATCAAAGATACATTTGCTCATGTCAGGGGTGGTCAATCCAGGTCTTCGAGGGCCAGTGTCCTGCAACTCTTGGATGTCTCCCTGGTCCAACACACTTGAATCACCTCCTAAGTGCAGTCAGGTTCTCCAGAGTCCTGCTAACGACCTCATTATTTGACTCAAGCGTGTCGAAGTTAAGACATCTAAAAGTTGCAGGAGACCGGCCTTGAAGCCTGGAGTTGTCCACCCCTGTCATATGTCTGTTCAAACATCAGCAAAATGATTTTAGAATTGAAAATGTTGCTCATTGTCAATATGTGGGTTTTGCTTAAAATGTGAATAATTACAGACTCTGCAATTAACTCGACTACAGCATTTTGAATGAGTCCCATTCAGGGAAAGTTAATTAATTAATTGCTGTCACACACACACTACCATCTCCAGTCTTCAGGAGTTCAGACTCGGTAATTCATGTGGAATATTTACAAAGTTTGTCTCAGGAACATCACTTTAGCCAGTTATTAAACCGCTGTTTTCATCTTCAGTCCAAGTTCTGATGAACTCAACTAGAATGAATAGAAGCCACTTTACAGTCAATTTAAGACTTAAAGTTGTAAAATTTGGCCTCAACCCCCAGATCATTACAGCTATAGCAAAGCACAGGGAGAAATAATCACCAATCAGTAGGAAAAAGAAACAGATTGCAGAAAAGATGGAATCTGGTCAGGGACGCTGACAGCAACAACAAGCCGCAGACATCTCTAATTAAGAGTAGCTGTGTTCTATATGTGACAACAACCTTCTTTATCCTCCATATGTAGAGGCTAAGGAGCACATTTTGGAGACTAAAGTCTTCCCTCTCAGATAAAGCTGTGTAGAAATACCTCAAAAGCTTGAGGGAGAATTATGGTCTGATGAAAACAGAGCACAAAAACAGCATTAAGCAAAAGAACACCATGCCTACTGTGAAAGATGGTGGTGGCAGCATCACAATCCATATTGGTGAACATTCAGGTGGTAAAAAGTTGAACATAAAAGAGAGGGGTTCATTTTTCAGCATCACCATGACTACAAGTAAACACCAGAAGCTTTTAGGAGAGCAAAAGTAAGAGTTCATCTGAGATATTCAGAGAAGTTTAGCAGGATGGAGAGAGATTTATTACAAGAGATAGCTTTTACAATTTGTGAGGATCATTCATATGCATATATATTAATCCCAAAGTCAGAACTGAACAAATGGAACAGTCTAAACTAAAGAAACCAAAGAGTAGATTTTTATTAATTTTTTTTACTTTGAGGAAATACTACAATATTCTATCAAAGTATATTGACTGAGTAAAGGGCTGTATTATTATAAATATATTTTGTCATCATTATATGTTGCCCGTTTTGTGTTTAAAGGTGCATCTATATGGATGGTTGATGCCAATTGCTTGTAGCCAACTGTCCTTTGAGAGAAGGGGTAGATAAGGTTTTTTTTTCATTTATTTAAACAATAAATGAATAAAATAAACATATCTTTTCGTTTTTACATAAATTGTACAGAGAAGCCCAGTCTTCTCTGTATAAAGCATCACTTTTTAATTCTTAAATAAGCCAACCCTTACACTTTACATTGCAATGTCTCATTTTTCTTCTTTGCCAAAGGCTTTAATACATCATAACAGAAACCATATGAGCACGAGCCCACAGTGTGCATCCATTCTGCTCCCGTATAAGCTCCCCAAATATTGAGAGAGGACCCATCTGATCCCACCTGGGGCTAGTCCAGTCCACGCTCCATCCTGTGAACACTTCACAACAACATACCTTACTCTTGACCTCAGCAGAAAGTCCAAAAGCCGGGCCGCTCCTGAAATGTGTTGTCATCCTGCAGTTTGTCTGTCCGCAGATGGAGCCGAGGGAAGAAAAAGACGGGGGGAAAAAATGGAGAAAACAGGTTGCGGTGCTCTGTCCGAGTGCAGGGACACGCAGCACGGAAGTCCTCAGGAAACCCGGAGGAGTTGTGTGTTTGAATAAACAGCTTGTATGTTAATTAGCCGCGGTACCGACCAGCTGTTGAGGCTTTCTGACAACCTTCCAACTCTTTTCGGAATCTTTTTAAACGCTTCCCATGTGTGTACTCTCTGATTGGCTGCAGCTGCTGTCCAATCCGGACGGAACCTCTCCGTCAAAGGGGGAGTGATGTCATCGCTCGGATATTGTTTCTTCTTCTTCTTTTTTTTTTGAATCAGTGTCACATTTTCCACCTTCAGCCTATTCCGTGGCGAGTTCTGCTCGGGTGTTCGGATGGAATGTTCTGTTATCACTCAGAGCTCAAAAGCACTTACCCCGTGTTATTTTAGAAATATTAGATGTCATGGTTTATGAAATAGAAACGTGGACATCTCGTTTAGAACCATTTTATTGACTAGAGGGGGAAAAGCTATCGGAACAACCACGAACCAGTTTGAAAAGTAATTTCCCCGTAAATCTAATTACTCGGGGCGCAGCGATACCGGTAAATCGGCCGGCCAATAAATCAGTGCAGATGTCTTTAATATTTATTGCAATTTTTTTTTATTTGCACTGCTGTTTTTTTTTTTTACTCATTTTTCAATAACATTTTCGCTGTTTTTGAACATCTGTTTTTCTGTGCTAATATACTGTATTGTATAGTCTGTTAAAGACACACGCACATTACGTCCATTTTAAAAAAAAAAACTCATAAATTGTGCATCTATGATGTTTACGATATTTCTAGTCTAATAACTTCACAGTATTTTATTATTGTTATTATTATTATTGTTGTTGTTATTGTTAATCTTTTTTTTCTACCCTTTTGGAACTTTTTTGTATAAAATATATACCTGACAGGAGATCATCAGGACATTTTCAGGCAAATTTGAGGTTTTTTTTTTTTTTTTTTTTTTTAATAAATCAACAGTGATTTTGGACTTGGAACTCTTCCATCGGTACCTTCCCCCCCCCCCCCCCCCCCCTTCTCTTTCCTTTTTTTCTTTTTTCTTTTTTGGTGAAAATTA